CTGCATAAAATTTTTGCTTCAAGTGAGGCACATGGCTTATATCGTAAGTAAATAGTTCAGGGTTTATATTTAATTGTGAATTCTTAATATTTCTGACCTTCTTCCTCAGAGAGCTTGGTATTGGGATAGTGCATATAGCCCTCTTGGTCGAGGTTTCTTTGGTGGCAAGGCAGTTTTGAGAGTTGCCTTCTGAGAGTATATTGGTAGGTGATAAAAAAAGAAGATCATATACCTAAACATATATACACCAAAGTTTGTTTCTCTGCGTTTCTTTGATTCTGTAATATGCATCAGTTTTCATAATTTTTTATCTTGGTCTGAATTGCTCCAAAACTCATAAATGATATTCCTGTCACAGACTACACATCCAAGGTCACTGGGGACAATCTAGAGAAGAACAAACTTGTATATTTCGTTTCGCGAATGTTGCTGCTAAGAATTCCTGCTCCCTCTCAATTAGCTTTGGCATGGCTTCTCCATCAAGGAGATGACATAATCCCAATCCTGGTAATTATTAGGATAAAGAAAAAAAAAACCCTACTTCATCATATTCTTCTTGATTGATATTTTGGATGATGTGTGATTTTCATACTTGGATGAGTTTTTACTTTTCACTTTCATATTTACAGGGAAACCAAGATTAAAAACCTTGATGATAACATGGTTCTTGGCTCTAAAGCTTACAGAGGAGAATTTGAAAGAATTTGTGACGCCGTACCCATTGAGGAAGTGGTGGCCACAGTAATTACAGTTATTGTCAAAATAGAATAAATATGCAAACACCCAACAAAATAATTGAAATAGATAAACCAAAATGCACGAAATCTGCCAGTAAACCGTTTTTCTTTGTCTCTGGGTTATTCTATCAAAAAATAGTACAAAATTAAGTGTGCATCTTCTGTATAATGATAATTGTCCCTCCAATATGAGCTTTTATTATTTATGATTTATTAATTGAATACCAGACTGGCAGACAGTAGAAAAAAGTTCCACCTATGATGGTTGCTTGCTTATTTTGCTGATTCAATTATGGTAAAATGATTATTAGGTTCTCTCCGCGATGATAAACCTTTTAGTAACTAGGTTAGTATGTCAGGAGATCTTGTGTCTGAACTGCAATAACAATATCCTAAGAGGTATTATGTTTGAGTTTAGAGTACTTACTATATTGTATAATATCTTAGTTTATTGAGTCAAGTAGTAAACTATACTTAGGGAGTCTTGGTTGAGTCAATAGAAGATCTATCATATTTTGATAATAGTTTGATTCATTGAGTTTATAGAGTATTATTAAACTAAACAAATAAAAAAGACCTTAGAGGAAAAACTGGTTTCAATTTGGGTTTGGAAAGGGTATAAATCTATCCTGGACAACGGCACGATAAACAAATTTCCGTGGCTTAAACGCAGGTGCGTATGCTACTTACCAAAGATCCACTAGAAAAAAACAGGTTCGGTGAATAAACAGTATCTATTTTTTATTGGAAAGAGAAAATACAGAAACGTGGTTGATGTGACGGCACACTGCTACTCACCAGAAGGCCGTAGTGCTTACTGGAAACCTAGAACACCAGTGGCCTCACAATTCAAATTAAACGAGTTCTGGTAAATATGGTAGCCACGTCAGCCAACTCCATCATGTGTGGACAACCGAAGCCACGAACCACTCACTTTGCAGAAAAATATCCAGAAGACGTGGATACCAAAATATCCACCACTCTTTACACCTCTCGACTAAATATCACCCACCACCCCTACCAAACTTCATAGTTTAAACTTCTAAACAGATTCAAGCTCTTACTCGATTCTTTAAGACTAAGAGTGCTCCTTCTTTTGTCATCGCGTTTGAGATGGCTGCATCATTTTCATTTGCTGTCAATCTATTTTTGGAAGCCCAGTGCTCGTGTTTCTACAGATCATGGGAGCAAGCCAGTTTTTCCCGGTCAGTACGTGCCTCGTCTAGGAAGAAATGCGGCTTACCAGTGCGTGCATGGCTGAGGTTAGTGATGATGATTGATAACCATGTTTTATTTTTTTTGACTCTTAGTATAGATCTTGTTTGTTGTGAGTGATATGAGCGTATTCTCGACATGCAGAAGAACAGAAGGAACAAGAACAACCACAGCCGATGCCAACAGCACCGAAGGCAAAGGTGAGCACGAAGTTCTCAGACGTGTTGGCATTCAGTGGGCCAGCCCGGAGAGGATCAACGGCAGGCTGCCATGATCGGCTTGTGCTGCAATGGCAGTAGAGCTAGCCAAGGGTCAGGATGTGTTTGCACAAATATCAGACGGCGGGGTTACATGGTTCAAGGGACAAGCGTTGTACTATCATGGCATCTCTAGTTCCTCTATTCAAAGGAGTGAGCGTGGAGTCGGTGTCAGAAGGGTTGATGACGCGGATGCTGAGCTGTGGAACGGGAGGTTCGCAATGTGGGTCTGATTGCTTTGGCCTCCCGGAGTATGTTAAGGGTGGTGCTCTTGTGTAGGCTGATTTGTAAAGGCATATATACTAGTCTTGTAGTTGATACCGGTGAAGACTGTATATTTCTGATTGTCAAAATGAAGAACAAATTGCACTGTTATCTGTGAAGGGTGGTGCTCTTTTGTAGGCCTTATTTGTCAGGCTATGTAACAGTCTTTGTAGTTGATACCTATGTGAAGACTATTTTTAGACAGTAGAAAAATGAAGAAGAACAATTGCACTGTATACGTTTGCTTTTTTTTGAAAATTATATAGCACTAATTTATGGTGAAGAATATTGTTTATAACCTGTTGTATTAACGAAGTTATGATAAAGTCAAATTAAAAAAAATTTATGGAAATAATAAACATTAATATTTTTGGTTTATATAGTAACTGCCTAGAAAATCCAGTTCGAAGCCAATTTACTACACCACACTTTATCTAATCTCTAGATAAATGTAACGTCAAAATGGTTGAAATTAAACCTTTCAACCACTAATCAATCCATGTGATAATTCACAAACACTTCATGACATAATAATGAGGAAACGCTTTGTACCTAAAATGAACTTTCGAGAATTTGGTAGTACATAGATAAAATTCAACTCTATTAATAGCACCATTGTAGAGATGTTCCTATACAAGACGGCGCAAGCACTTAACAAGAACAAAGTGAAGCAATTCTCCTCTGTTTTTTATTACGAAGATGGCATTGACAGTCCTCTTATTCATTACATTGTTATCTCAATCATATCTACGAGAAAATGACAAAACATATTAACAGAAAAGAATGAGAAGAATACATTTTTTTACCATATCATATATTACATATTCACCAAAGTTCTTTCAACACCTGTACACACTATGGCTCAGGAGATACTATGCTCATTCAACTCCATACTTTTATCTTATTGAGTTCCTATCGGGTGTTCTCTTGCTGCAGCAAAGTGAAAACAATGTCAATGCAATAAAAATCAAGAAAATGTGCCGACGGGCAGCACAATGATAATTGCGTAATGTAATATTTGACTTCAGTTAATGCTTCAAAAACTGAGGATGTACAATCTCCAAGCAGCCCACCACAATCATCTCCCAACAATATGCTAAATATCATGTTTGGAAACTTTCTAGTGTCCAAAAAATACATAATTTCCACAGCCTAAAAGTTGTCTAAGCATCACAGGACGGGATGCTATTCCTACCCATAATATAAAGGCAATGTACTTCAATGGAGTGCCATCATAAACAGCTAATTCCCTAAGGTCTGCTTGGGCTTTTTTTCCATTAGTTTTAAGGGGTTTTAATTAGATTAGTTTTGAGATGTTTTAAAACATTATTTACAGTTTTTTTTATGCACTGGTTTTGATTAGCTAAAAACCCCTCAGAACCATGTAGTGTATTTTTGAATAGTTATAAACACAAATCGAGTGTTTTGGTTGGTTTTAAAATTTTATTCACAAATACCCTACCACAATAAAACTATCCCAATTATAAAAAAAAAAAAAAAAAAAATTAACTATATATACAGTCTTAACCATATTAATATAAAATAATTTTAAGTAATCATAAAAATAAAAAAAAATAATGAAAATAAATTATTAAAATCTCATTTCTAGATGCTTTCTTAGAGAAGTGGAGTTAAAATTTTTCAATCATTCCAGATGCTGTAAAGAATGACGAAGAAGGATAAAAGACTTTATCACATTTGAGATAAAGTACTAAAAATAGAAAACAAATAAAGAACTCTTACCTTAGAGCATCTCAATGGTGTCTTTATTTGAAGACATCTTTCATATGAATAAAGAACATCTTCATTAATTTTAATATATAAAGAACACAATTTTTATTCAAATCCAATGACTCTTTAAATTTATGAAGATGCTCTTTATTTTAAGAAAGAGACTTAACGAGAAGAAAATTAATAATAAAATGCATAGGAATTGTAGTTTATTAATTAAAATTAGGATTGAGAGTGAAATTTGACTCTCTAAATGTAAAGACTCAAACTCACTCTCTAATTTATATTTAAAGATAAAGACTATTGGACTCTTTTTTATGGATAGACTCTTTATAATAAAGAGTTTGAGTCAAATAAAGAGTCATTTGGAGATGCTCTTATAATTGAAAAAACAAAACTCTAAATACTAGTTAGAGTTGGGGTATTTTTTGGGTATATATGTAAATATCATTTGAAAAAACTGTTGAACCGTGAAAATAAACTCCCAAGCACAGATTGAGTGTTTTAAAAACCGTACTAAAAACCCCTCAAAACCGCTATGATGGTTTACCCTTAAAACCGCACAGTGATTTACCTCATAACCGTATCATGAAACTCCCAAACTAACCCTAATCATCCAAGCAGGGTTTATATCCACCTTCAGAACACAGATCTTTACTGACGGAGGATATGCCATAGTGTGTGGGTCAAAAGACAGGGCAGAATCAACAGGACTAGGGAAAAAAAATCACAGCTTAACTTCATGAGTACACAAAAGTAATCATTTTAAAGATATATGAATCCAATATAATTTCTATACAAATTTAAAGGAGATTCAGATACTTACTTTTACAGGAAGATCGACTGGAAACAAACTTATAGAACTGGGATCAAAACTGAATTCACTGAGTAAAAGGAAAATGGCAGAATACATATATCAGTGAGATGAAAAAGTAATTAAAATGAAAGGGCTGCATTAAATCAATGCAGTGTAAAGTCCTAAATCTCATTTAAAAAAAAAAAAAAAAAAAGTCTCGACTCATGACACCCAAATCTGGAGTTTGATTTCCCTTTCTTACAGACAATTTGTCATATTTAAAAATTTCCTTGAAATAAGGAGAGGGAGTACGAAAAATACCAGCGCGATAGAACCAGTTGCCACACATATGGAATAAAGAACTCCTCTGGATGACTCTCTTGTTCGTATGAGAAATGTAATTGAGTAAACATCTGTCAGAAAAAAGGGTCCAGAGTTTGTAACAATGGAAGGAAAATAAAGCGTGTGTATATATATGGACAACTGTCCCAAGTTTAAAAACAAATTCTACAATTACCTTCAATCCATCACCCCGCCAAGATCGGCAATTAATAATTATGAACTGGAGAACTTTGTCCACTGACCATTCACCATCCACTCTTTGGGAATCAAGCCGACTATTAAAAAAATCTAATACCTATAAAAGACAAAGGAGTCGTACAATTCAGATGCGCCCACAAAAAATTGAAAAGTAGCCGTTACCTTTAGAATGCTTATATACAAGCATTGTACCTACCACTGACTTGTAATTTGCCAAATTCTAGAATTTATTACAAGAATAATAACCAAGAAGTTTTCTACAAAAACCATAAGTATACCGTGTATATATTCTCTAGCAGCTCATTAAAGCGAGGATGGCTCTTGAATGGCTGGAAAACCTCCTGCCTGTGTAGTATTGCATACACAACCTATCACAGAGCATATAGTTAAGAACTGAAAGCATGGACATGCTCAATAACATGTGATGCTAAAAAAATGATGAAACATTATCAAGTATCAACTAATGTCTTAAAATTTTAATTTAAAAGAAAAAAATGATACCTCAGGATTCCGAGGCAGTGCATAAGTCAAAATTGCATTTAATATTTCAAGGACAATTCTCAGGAAGTCGGTATAAATATGCAACTCTGCTGACTGCAGCAAAAATAATCTAGTTTAGCAAAAGAAAAGAAATCATAAGATAAGATAAGATACCATCCAAACAGCAAAAAGTTCATAACTTAATTATGCCATATCAACAAAGATCAATTATTACCATATCTTCTGCAAGGCTGTCTTGTTCTAATGAGCCTTTCTTGTCATCTCTTAGATCCGCTAGTTTGTTGTACCTAAATCAATATTATTACAATAAAGAAAACAATTAAAAAAAAAAAAGATATCATAATTCTTAATAGATGAAAGTCTGCATCAAGCTGATCAAATTATCCAAGATAACACCAAAAAAAAAAGTCAGAAAAAACAAGAGAACAGGCGTAACGTACTTCCGTGAAAGCATATAGAAAAGGCTGACTAGTCTCTGTGATGCATATGCACTCAAACGGTGGACATGAGGTGCCATGTTTGCCAAAGTTGCCAGACAAGTTGTATGGAGGTAGACATCCTATTATAATTTAACATGTAGAAATTAGCAAAGGGCAGAGTTATATCATCCACCATATGTCAAATATCCATCAATTAAAAACTTACAAAACTGCTAAAATGTAAATTGACAATAAAACATTAACAAAAATGTTGTCATCATAATGTATAGGAGAAAACCAACTTTCAAATGAACTTTAAAAATGAAATATACCACTTCTGCTAACTTGTGGCTCTTTTGGCAGCATAATCATACATAACTACTTCCAAGGAGCACAAAGACCAACATATATGCATATATCAATATATGCATATTACCTCTTAACATTAGGTAACATCTTTATAGGAGGCATTTTATATGAATGGGATTAAGATTAATCAAGTGGCCTGCTACAGCATTCTCAAAAATCATTTTCAAGAAAACTTAAAAAATCAGATACTTCAAGTCATACCCGTAGCTTAGATAGGTTATACTTCACAGTCCTTATCAAAATGATCACCATCAAGGATCCGAGAGATGTCTGGTGAAGAAGGTGTTCTTTGTACCAAGGAACACTAGGGAGAATCTGTGGAATATATAATATATCAACCCAATCCTCGAATAAAAAAAGTCAAAGATTAGCCACTAGAAGTAATTCTTACCATTTTGTGGATGCTCGCATTGAAAGAAGAATCTTGACTAAGTATAAGAAGGATAATCAGCAACATGTATATCTGATTAGGTGTCCTCTTTGAAGCATTATATAAGGTTTCCAAAATGGGCATCAACTGTTGATTTCATTGTAAAACAGAATGGTATTAGGATGTGCTGCAGCTATGCCACAATAACAACAAATGAGATATGCCAATGATATAATTGGTAAAAATTACGAAATTATTTAATCTCAAAATTCCTATAAGAGGAAGTCTAAGAAAATCCCCCATTACTAGTTAGCACCTTTAATGCAGCATAATATTCATAATATTTTGACATGGCCCTAATATTGATAAAGTAAGGTCAAGATTATCCTATGATGTATACCACTTAATTAAACTAGGAAGTTCAATAGAGAACTAAATCAAAAACAACAGGCAGCACTTGGTCAAATCTTTAACATGCAAGGAGGAAATAGCAAGTTTCAATCTCACTAGGCATATGTGGATTTGAATTTTTAACATGCCAACTACTAAAGCCTGGTAATATAGAACTCCCCTTCCCTTATGAAGTTGAGGTGTCTTGCCCAAGGGCATCCTTAAAGTTTGGCATCAAGTAAAATTAACATCAAGTTACGAAATTTTTAAGCTGTTGATTCATACCAATGTATCCAAATCAGTTCGCACAAGAACATACTCCAAGAAGCCAGAGTTCCCTTCCACCAATGAGTAAAGCAATAAAACTGCGGTCTCATCAGCCAAGCACCTGCAGTAGCACAATATGTATGGCAGGTCATGAAATAGTGAAAGAGAAAGAAATAACAATATTATGATGATAATGAGATAAAGTAATTAGTTGCATGTTGTTGATTTAAAGTTTTGACAAACAATTATAGCTCAGATTAGAATATTGTGTCCAAGCCGTTAAAAGATCTTAGTAAACCACATAAAGAATGAAGCAATGATTTGCACACTTAACAAGATAAACTATTTTTTATTTAAGAATAAGGAAAAAACCAATCTTAATTCACATGGCCACATTAAATTTAACCCAGTGATCAATCTTACTGTTTAGAAGCACAAAAAGAAACTACATAACTTACATAACATATAAATTCTAAACTTGGGAAGAAGAAGAAAAGGGAACTCACAATCCAAGAGTATCAAATAGAGCAGCAAAAGGTAACTTCACAACTAAACCATTGTGTGCATTCCCTTCAATATCTACATGACCAACTGCAAGCAGACAATAATTTACAAACATATAGCATGTCAACACAACAATAAAATAAACAAAGTAATAAAAAGCAAAAATCACTATTTATCAACCACATAAAATATCATTGCAATTATAAAACAAGCATACAAGAAAGCTGATCTCACATTCAATATCCCTTGCATTTTCTAATGCTTTGCAGTAAGGATTGTCAGAGAAATGTGTATTTGACTTGGAAAGAGAATCTGAGGCGGCACTGTCATCACTTCTATCTGTTACAGATTCATCACTCTCAACACATTTACGATAATGAATGAGAACAAGTAGCACAAGGAGGCTGCAGTCTGCCAGTTGATTTCTTGAGCTTTCACCACTTGAACTGACCAGATAATTGAATGGCAACAACACAAAAGTTGCTGCAAGTGAAATACATGATATCAAACAAAGTGTCAAAGAAATACAAGCATTGAGAATCATATGATAAGAAAGTCTGTACTCCATTAACAAGGCGGCGGCCAAGAAAGGCAGATAGAAGTAAGATAAAAACAAATTACATTATAGAAAATATGCCTCAAAGCTAAAAAACATACCAGCTGCAGAACCCACTCTCTGCAGAACACCAGGCTCGCTCATCTCTGAAAATATAGAGTAAGATGCACTATTCAAGGGGATACGAGGTCGCATTATGTAGTTGAGTAGCAATCGGTGAACAACTGAATTTACCAAAGAACTTTCCTACAATAGAAGCAATTGCAGTAAGTTCAGAGATTTGGAGATTATAGCACATAAAATCAAAACTTCATATTCTAACCTCAGCCATTGCAGCATCAATGAATGGGTGCACATCTTTTGGTCCAGGAGATGGCCCAGAAAGAAGCTGAGTTGACATCGCGATGAGCATGAAGTTAAGCAGCTCCTGATGTAGGAGGTATGTTTGGGGGCTAGCAACAAAAACCTTCATAATTACAAAAACAATAGAGATGTATATCAACCATAAGAACAAGTAGAGCATTGATAACATACCTTACATCTACTGAGACAATAAAGCTCAGCACACTATGCATGACAAGCTTTTTGATGTTTTGATCTGCACATGTAAACCAAGCTTTAGGTGCATGATGCTTTTCACAAAGCACGATCAATCAGCACTCTAATATTACCAAAAGAAAAAACAAATCTTGCAAACAAAAATATGTAAGGTACATAAAACAGAACTTTTTGCTAACTATCATAAATACAAGTTAAATACCTATCGTAAATTCCTTTGGAATTGGTTCACTTTCAGCAAGAGATAGATGTAACTCATCAAAGTTGTCACTTTGAGCATTTTCTATTAGGTACTTCAGGAAAACTGACGAAATGTACACTGCATTAATAGCCTTGGTATAAGCTGTCGACTGAGTACCAGAAGATGAAATAGACTCTTGCAAACACTGTGCTAAGTGAATCGAAATCTTTGCAAGATGCCTGGTATTACAGTTGTTTTGTGCTGCAAAAACATAAATAAAGAAATCACATCTAAATATGTTAAAACACATTAGAAACGAAAAATGGAGAAAAAAGTGAATTACTGCATAGTTGCAAGAAAGGATTAGAAGATATAAAGGTCAGAAATACTTTACATCAGAATATTTTCTAAATATGCCTTATCATATAAATTGAAGAGAAGAAAAGGGGCATGAATAACACACATTTTCACACATTTATGTCTTCTGAATGCTTTTAAGAGCATGAATCAACAATTTTTGATGAAGTATTTTTTCTAGATTTCATTCTCTCAATACACATAGATGCTACTACCACTGTCTCTATTTCTTTTTCTTTTTCTTTTTCATTTATTCCTCTCCAGTCAGCTCAAAATCAATTCATTAGGCCCATAAAGCAGCTAATAAAAGACTGGTCCTGGAATCCTTGCACAAGGGCTGTGCATCATGTGCTTCATTGTGACTGAAAATTTCTCTCATTACAATCTATGTGTTCTACACAGGATTCTAAAACTAGTGAGTGCATTCGATGACGATTAAACTAAAGTGACGCTGCATAAGGACAATATTCGACAAGATAAAAGGAAACAAATTTCCTTTTCAACCATTTTGCAGTCTTTCTGCTGCACACAGTAGGTCTACTTGCTTAAATATTATAAACGCACATTCTGCCGCATGAGGTATTAACATATGAAGCAGAATAATGTTTTACAATGACTTAAATTTTAAATTTAAAGCTATACACACAAATCAGTATCCTCATTTAAAACGGCCAAACATTTCCATCATTTACTTCTCAAGCTCATACAAAATTTTATTAAAGAAGATGACCCTGTGCACATCCTACATGGTGAAATACAACATATTCCAATCGAGTGATCGCACAAATGCAACCTCGAAATGTATGAAATATTAAGTTACGTATATTTCCTTGATTTTTATTTTTCACCATTTTCGAATGTTCAAGGTTTACGCCTTACTTTATTCGCTTCAAAATGGATTAGTGTTTAGCAAGATTAAGATCAATTCAAGATCACCAACCCAGCATTTAAAATTAGACTCACAAAGCATGCCGCGTCACATTGATCCGTACAATTCTACGATCGGAAACTCAAGTCATCAAATTAGAAATTTAACAGCTCAATGCCCAATAAAATAACAACAATGACTCGTGACAGTAAATTAACATGAATTAAGAGAAACAAAACTCACCAAAAACTTGGCAAGCTTGATGGACTCGATGGGAGGGCCAGCGAAGACTGAGAGGGAGTTCGAGAAGCTTCTGCCAGAAATCAGAGTCCAAAGGGAAGGATTTCTCACCAACGAATGTGGCGATTAAGTACTCGGCTGTATCCTGTGGACGAGCGTCGCTAAAACGCGGCGTTGAAGGGACTCCGCCCATTGGTATTGCTCGAGGCCTGTGGTGGTTTGAGACGGTAGTACTAAGTCACTGGGTCAACTATAATTGGAGACCGAGTTCCGAGATCAACGGCATTACACAGAAAGACAGAGGGAGAGGTGGATCTGTCTGGCTTTTCAAAATTAAAACTGAAAATGAAATTGGAATTAGGGTTCCATTTTCGGTTGAGGTAGAGAGATGAAGCGAAGGAGGGCGAGCTTGCAAACGAAGTTTTTGAAGAGTTTTCAGACACGGGGCTAAATCGAGGACTTTAATTTTTATTTTTAAATATAATTTTTTAATTTTTCTGCGAGATAGGGACATTTCACATTTGGTTTTGGATGATGATGCCGTCATTAACTTCATTTTTTCTTTTATTGGACGATTTTGTCCTCCATTTTTTGTTTTTCTGTTAAAATCTTAGAGTGCTTTTGGTTTAATATTTCTATCCATATTCCCGATCCTATTCCCAAATTATTTGTTTGTTTAACTATTTAGAAAATATTATTATATTTTTTAATTTCTTTTAGACCCCTTAAGTTTATTAATTTCATAAATACCCTAAGAAAAAAGTTTAAAAATTAACAAAAATACCCTCACCCACCCATAGTTGCCAGATTTTGACAACCACCATCGGTGGTAGTCAGAATCTGTTACAACGGCCTAAAAACAACCGAAAATGATCAGTATTTCACCGATCTGGCCTTTTTCGACCATATCCACAGTGGATCTGGCAGGACAAGGCCAGATCTGGCCATCAGCGGCGGCCAAAGAAATGGTTTTCATTGACCGACAATGACGGTCAAAAAAATGGCCGTCGTTGACCGACAACAACGATTATATCTTTTTGCCTTTTGCGGCTATTGACCGCCAAATTGATACACGTCTGGCCAGATCCATGTAATCTACGTCGTGTCGCTAGATTCTGACCAGATTCCGACGATGGTAGTCGGAATTTGGCATTGTGGATGGGTGGGGGTGTTTTTATCATTTTATAAAAAATTTATATATTAAGGTGTTTAGTTAAATTAGTAAACTTAAGGGATTTTTTATAAATTTTTAAACTTTATCCCGTAATAATTACCTTATTCAACTATCTAATACTATCTTCAAAATCCTATTCAAAATAATAAACCAATCTTAGCCTTGATTTTTTATTTAACTAGTGTTATTAGCTTCGCTATTAGATTTTCATTCACTGAATCAAATATTATCTGCTCTTTGACCTTCTCTTATAATGTTTTTTAATAAAGAAACGACATTTAATTAAAATTAATATCATAGTTAAGACAACAGGGGCATTATAGTGATTGAAGGTGATGGAGGGTAAGGTTTCTCTATTAATTGCAGATCTGTTGTCACTTGCAACTGTTTTTTGCTTCGTCGGCAAGAGGAGATGCCATGCCATGCCATCTGTAAATAAAGACTTTTCTTTTTATTAATAAATAAAAACTTTTTCTATTTTAGCAAAAAAAAAAAAAAACACTTTCTGTTCAAATGTCAGTTTGTGTCACGCCATTTTTAGCTTAATTAAGCATCACCATTCAATGAAAAATCCTGTCTCAACACGTGTTTAATGTTCATAGGTTACCCAGGTGACTTTCTCTAATCAAACGCATCATTTAAATCAATCAAGATTCAAGCGTGTACTTGAAACCTCAGTGCTGATACCCTAAACTGGATCCTGTGTTCGACGTGCTACCAAATAAATGTGCACCCATGGATTTCATCACCGTTGACTTGAAGATTTAAGTATCTATTTGACGAATCTTTTAAATTCAGTATCGGACACGTAGACAAGTGCAAATTTTTTAAATATGCACAAATTCCAATTCTCGTTCATTTTTTTTGAGTTGTATTAAATATATAAACTAAATTTCCAAACTGAAATTATATATATAAGCATATATTAATTCTGCGCTACTTTATAATATTATTACATGATTTGGTGTTCTATGTGTTTGTTGATTATTTCAAACTGAGATGGCTAAAATTTAAAAGACAGTAGGAAAGATAAACAAGCAGGCATTAACCATTGGCTACGCCCACCGACACAACCCCAAATTACACCTTGGTCCATATACGAAAACTAGTCAGACTCAAACATATGAAGGTGAACCCACTGTTTTTTATTTATGGCTGTTCGTCTATACACATCAAAGCTTCTTCTTTTGAGTGATGTGAAGTTTCCATTGTTTTTATTTGTTGAAGGAATGCAAATTACACGTTAAACATAATCCTGGTATGGCATCTAATATTTCAATAAAATGTATTGTATAAAAGCACGAAATGGTATTAAATAATCTAATACAATCTTTAGTGTACAAAGATGCATTTTCAAGTATAAACAAAGTTTTTTAACGATTTTTTTTTTTTATTTTTATGAACAGGGTTGTTTGGGTCAGTTTACGCGCACTTTAAATGATCTTTCGAAACTATATAATTATTAATCTAGTAAGAGCTCTATTAACTACTCCTATTAGCAACCGAAAAGGAACTCGAACTAAAAACCTCTTTAAGTAATATACTCAACAGTCCTTATCGAACCACTTAATCATCCAAAGGTGATTTTTTTAACGCTTTTATGTTATTTCAAGTCCTTTAAATATGTATTATGAACACTTTCTAATTAAAAAAGACGAAGCATTTTTTGATTGATCGATAAAATTAGTGAAATATTAAGATGTTCAATAATTTTAAGACAAAAAATAGTAATTACAATAATAAAATAATTGATTTACAACTCAATCTTATAAATTTTTTCTCATAACTTCGAGACCCATTTACGAGTTGATTAATTTTGAACTGTCACATCAAGATTATGAGAAAAAATTTGTGAGATTAGTTGTAAGTGTAGTATTGACCATAATAATAATTAAAAAAAAGTAGACAAAATTGTGGTGTAATCAATTTGGTTCGTCAATTCAAATTTCAACAACCTTGGAATAGACCGATGGAGCGTGAATAAGGCTGGGGTCCTCAGTGATAACAATATTCAATATAATACAATATGATAAATGAGAGACAAAGCTTTGAAAATTTGGCAATATCAGTAACATGCAATGCTTCTAAATTCAAAGGATTAATAATCAGTTGAGACTTCTTACAAAGTGAATAATCCAATAAGTGGGTTTCTCCTATTATAATCATTTATAATGTTTTTATATAAAAAAAGTTTGAAAAGCATTGGGCTTGTGTAATTAACAGAAAGGTAACATTTTGTAATTAATGTCTAGCTCTCTTTTGATTTTTTGGGCAAAAATGTTTTCAATTCAAAATTACAATCATATATGGTTGTCAACTGATCAGGACCGTTAAAAGTAGTGAATCCCACAAAACCCCTGTAAATAAAACAAACATCACCTACTCAAGAAAGTGACGCCGTATTATATACGTGCCCTGTGTCATTTTCAGTAGCTTCAGTTGGAAAAGCCAAAGCCAAAGCCAATATTTTAAAAAACTTGTATTGATTGAATTAAATAAAATAGAGGGAAGCAGCTGACAAATTGAAAAAGAAAACGCCTACGAAGTTCGGTTGAAGGCTGAGATGGGCCAAGTTGGAACTGAAAAACGGCCCTACTATTATGAGGCTCAAAGTATTATGCAGTAAATCAGATCTCTGAGTCTGACATTTCCACAGCCCATAACTCACCCATTGTCCATTCACTACCACAAAGATGCCACCATTGATGGAGATCGGAGAGATTAAGTTTTAAAACAGGACTAAAGTAACCAAACCTTTACCTAACAAACCAAATTACCCTTTTGACTTTTCAGTGTAAACAGTAATAAAGTGCAAGTTGACCCGGACATCACGGTTATTTAAAAAAAAAAAAAAAAAGGTGTTTTTCGTGAACATTCCTAGCCAAGGAAAATTGATATTTAGATTATAAATGAAAATGGAAATGGGTTTTTGTCTAAATTGAACCCTAAAAAAGAAGTAAAAAAAGTGGTGATATGGCCAAATTAGACATCTCCCATGTATTATATATTTAGAAAATAATAAAGTTACCGAAGAATAAGCATCGAATTCATGTACCGAATAACTTGACACCATCCTGACCGTCGATTAATTATAAATTTCATTTTTTAAGAAAACAAGATGACGCCACGTCATTTGGTGCATGAATTCGGTATGCATCATTCAGTAACTGTAGCATTGTTCTATATATTTTCGGTAATTGATTTTTTATAATGAGATATAAAGAGCCTATAGTAGATGGGCATGCGGAGCACGTGGAATTCTATCCCTTGAAAAGACAAAGGCGAAGGGTTTAATGTGATACAACTCAATTCTTGTGGTGGCCGTGGCGCCAAAAACAGTCTAAAACAGGAAGTTTATGATCCTGCTTTCACCTTCTTTATGCCCATATAACAAACCCTAACGCATAAGAAATCCACCATAAACTTTACTCCATGATAAGTGGGGTGGGGACACAGTGGTGATGAGAGAGGGAACATAATTTCACCTACCAGCGCGTGACACTTGGTTTGAGAAAGGGTTTTGTATAGGTTATACTGGAATGTGCTAGATTATAAAGGGACAAAATAATCTTTAAATATAACAATATTTTAATCAATAAAGATACCTAAACATGATGCCCTTCTCCAAACTTCTCCAAACTGCAACTACGACTTCAAGCTTTTAATCATTTTGGCCTAACACTTTTAATGTAAATCTACAGTGCTAGGGTTTTATATTATGGACAAAACAGTCAGAGACAAACAGTAACATCATCTTGAATGTGTCGTGTCTGCTAATAGCTTTGAGCTTTTGAAGCTCACAAAACAGTAAGTTCAGATGAATCTACTAATTAATTAATTATTTCATTTCATGCATATTAAAGAACTACATGATATATGTTCAAATAGAAATGGATTATATCAATAAGAAGAGTGTTGAGACAAACTAGAAACATTGGCTAACAAAGAACCATACTTTATCTGCTTCTTTTTAAAGTTAGGCATTCAGATTTTATACCCATATAAATATTATATATATCAGGAAGAAAGTAAAGTGTAGAAACTTTTTTGTGTTTAATAGAAACTAATGGATTGAATTGACAAGAATCATGTTTAAATCAAGGAGAAGTACTTTCAAAAATTGAAAACTAGCTCAATCCCTACAATTCTTGTCAAGTCTTTTCATATCATATGCTCAATCTTTTTAATTTATAATTGTTTTTATCAATCAATGTATAAGTTGGATAGACATGACACAAATAAAGAGATTAACTAACTTAATATGAACAACTGATTGTTCTACACTCTTCAAGATGATCAAGTTGCATATGATACCAAATTAATGGGGATTGGGAAAGCAATATATAGACATACTGGAATGTTCAAGGAGCATTAATAAATTCTGAACTACTTTTTCCAAGGAAACTTAACTTGTTTAATTAATTTACTCACTTTGGAGTACATTCTTCCATTGTCACATGTTTGGAAAATTGGCATGCATTGTCCAGCCAACGCCAAGACATTCCATCTGGAAATTTCACTTGGCTTTTGGCATCAAAGAAATCAACAGCTGAAGAAACAAGAAATTAGGCAGATATATAACTAGAGAAGTACCTCTAACCCAGCTCGAGCTCATTGAAGAAAACAGCAGGTAAAGAAGTAAATTATGCAAGCTCCTCCTCTCTCTACTTTGGACTAGAACCCATGAAACCAAGATGCTCGACAAGCATATCTACATCTTCTGCTCCTTCACCTTCTTCCTCAATTTCTTCATTCAAGAAATCTTCCCAGAACTTCACATTATCTGTACTTCTATGTTCATGACCTCCTTTTTCTATAAATTTCTCTTGCGGGTTAATGTTTTGGCTATCACTTAGTCCTTGCATGTCCACAGCCAGTATGTCTAGTTCTGACACTTCAAAATCAGAAATGTCACCGTATTCTTCAGGTTCCATCTTAACAAAATTAGGAAGTACTTCACATTCTCCTTGTCCTAATTCACCAACTTCAATATTACTAGGCCCTTGATCAATATGCCGTCTTTTCTTTCTGGTAATCACTTCTTCAAATTCTTTTCTGCTATCTTTTTGTTGGACTAATTGCTGTACAAAGTTTGGATTTTGCATTGCTCTTGCCAAGAAACTCATCATTTGTTGTTGTTTCATCTCAGTCTTTCTCAGCTTTTGTTCCATTACATGAAGATAATCTCTAGTAGTCTGTTGTTGCTGTCTCAGCTTCACCAATTCCACCATTAGAACTTGCTTGTCACGCCTTAGTCTATTAACTTCACCATCTAAACCAAACCTTCCTACTTCAACACAAGCGTCTAGAGCCTGCTGTGAAGCCTGAGGTTGAAGTGTTTTTCTTCTCCTAATGTTCTTTAAAAGATGCCTTTGCCCTCTCAGAAACCCTTCATTTGCAAACTCCCATCTATCAGGATCAACCTTCCTAAATCCCTGCATCAATTACAATCTTAATTTGTGCATATGATCAAATTCAAATTCACAACTACCCTAATTAAGAACCTTCAAGAGCTGGTTACAATAGATGATAAATATTGATCCACGTACATATCAAGCAATTTTTAATGATAACCGGTAATAGAAATATGGACAAGAGGACGAATCAAACCTCTCCAAAATAATAAGAAAAGATAAAGGAACATTCTACCTCTTAATTCCATGATCAAGAATGACAAAAAACAAAACAAATATCTTCAATTTGATTCATAAGAATGACAAAAAACAAAACAAATATCTTCACTTTGATTCATAAGAATGACAAAAAACAAAACAAATATCTTCACTTTGATTCATGACTGCTTTCATATTTGGAAATGAAATTAAGAAATGGATGAAGTGTACTTACATAAGTGTTGAGTTGTCTAACAAAGCTGGAGAAATTGTTGTGCTTGAAGTGTCTAGGGAGAAGACTCGTGGAAAAGGTCTGGGGATCCCATACAACAAAGCTGCTGTTGCCGCTGCTCCAAGAAATAATATGATTGGTGTTGGAGTCTTCAACTATGTCATAAGTTTTTGTGAGAAATGGAGGAGGACCTGCATCATGAAGTCCCTCCATTGGTTGAGGAGTTGCCGCAGCCGCCATGCCAGTTACAAGAATCTAACAATCTATGTGATGAATATAAACTGAAACAACAAAAACCCTTCAATCAACAAGAAGAAAAAAGGGAAAGATGTGGCGGCCTGATCGAGAAGCAAGCTTCTTTAATATACGACAATGAATGTAGTTGAATACAAATAGTTTCCAGAAATGGAAGATAAATAACAGAAAAAGACTGAAAGATAAAAGATCTCTGGTAAGAAGAAAAGGGAGAGTGACGGTGAAGAGAAAAGTGAGGTGCTTGGTATTGGGACCAAAAAAAGTGAGAAATAAGAGACAGATGTGAACTGGGTATCAGTAATTTATATAACAATAGTTGAAATTATTTTTATATATCTTATTTCGCTAGACACGAATAGCTGAGATGAGAATAATGGAAAGTAACCAAAATAGCAATGAGATATTTTTCTCCCTCCTCATGTTCTTTCTCCTTTGGGAAGTCCATTGGCCACTGCCTGTGCTCTTGTCTTGCTCTGTCATATTGCACTCACTGTAGCCCTTCTGATAAATTAAATAAATAATATAATATTAACAGAAAAAAAAAAAGAAGAGGAATTTGTGTATTAACTGTTTCTGCTTTGATACCCATGGTTGTTTTATAAGGTATAAACTGTAGAGAGGCAAATTTTGGATGTTCATAGGGAGCCCTTTTGTTTGGTGGGTGGGAGGAGCTAGAAGGAAGAGGCTGGGTGTGTCTAATAAATATCTTGGTTGCAAAATGTTATTTTAATGTGGGATAATGTCATAGAGTTAAAGATTTCCTTCTTTATTGGACCCCACAATTTTATTTAATGGTTTAATTTGCGGTGAATTCTGATAATAGCTTTTTATCTTGGAGTTGGAAATAATGCAATTTTATTGGTCATATCAAATTTTATTGGCATTTGATTCTTATCGCTTTTGTTTGATGTCGGTAAGTTGAACCTGCTACTGTGTCTTTCATTCGTTGGTTCTGGTTTTGGTTTAATAACAATCACTCTTCTAATAATCAAATTGTCTTGCCTGCAGTGTTTTAATAAAGGGTGAAACCCGGTAAAGTAGTCGAGTCCCAGGTTGATTAATTTAACCGGTTTGATTGAGGGGTCAAATAGGTGATATGCATGTGTCTAAAAGTTTTAAAATCAACAAATACACTCTTAAAATTTTTTCAAGTCCTTACATGTTTGAAATCCAACATACACGCCCCAAATATAAATCGGCGGTCAACTGGTTGGCAACAGAGACACACCAAATACAATCTCACTAATCCTTTATGTCATTCCCTAGAAAATTTGCCCAAGATCTGACTGCAATCGATTCAATTTCGGGTAGGTCTCACCATCGTCGACGTCGACAATCCAGGCCAAATAGACATGTTTTTACGTCAACAACCCTCTCCATCACCATAAAAATACTCCCCTCATCCTCTTGACCAAAGCCCATCCCCTTCCCCCCCCCCCCCCCCCCCCCCCCCCCCCCCCCCCCGGCAAAATTGTTGCCTTTTCTGGTCGTTTCACTTATCGAAAATCACCTTTATCGCCACCTTTCAACTCACTGACACTTCCTTTTCAAAACCACCAACATCCTCTCCATTGTATGCTCGCCGATCACCAATTATCAATCTGGGGTTCAAGTGAATAGTTAAAATTGGGTATCCAACCCGATGAAAGCTTTGAGTCCCAGTTAATCTGATTGAGTCGGGTTTTAAAACATTGCTTGCCTGTATTCACATGTTAATATTATTCACAGATTTTATCACTTAATTACCTTCATATTTATTACATAAAAAGATGTTGTTAAACAAATGAAACATTATTATAAATCTATATAATTTAAAAAATATTTAGATACTTTTCAGTTTATTTTAATAATTACAAATAATTTAAGAAGATGAAATACCATGTCTAATATTTGTATGGTTAAACCCACAAAAAGAGCATTAATTATGACAAATTGCATATATAATTTGTACCAAAAATTTGGAAAACCGAATAAGAAAGGAGCATACCAAGTGTACTTTATTTTATATTTCTTATTATTTCTTTCTTTTGGTTCGGGCTAAGCTACGACCCGTGACCTAAACGGGCGACGTGGCTAGCCACGGGTACCTTTTATTTATATATCTTAAATAAGATATTTATGTACTTCGGTTCAAAAAATTTGACCAAAGCTGAAAAGGTCATCTAAAAGTACCGTGGCATCAGACTCTAATTCAGGAANCCGAATAAGAAAGGAGCATACCAAGTGTACTTTATTTTATATTTCTTATTATTTCTTTCTTTTGGTTCGGGCTAAGCTACGACCCGTGACCTAAACGGGCGACGTGGCTAGCCACGGGTACCTTTTATTTATATATCTTAAATAAGATATTTATGTATTTCGGCTCAAAAATTTTGACCAAAGCTGAAAAGGTCATCTAAAAGTACCGTGGCATCAGACTCTAATTCAGGAATGCCGGACAAGTGGCAAATTACTTATGGACACGTGTACGCATCAGAAGGCAAAAGAACCATGTTGTGACAGTACAGCCTGTGATTACCCATCAATGCTTGGGATTAAAATAAAAGTACAGGGAGGTAGAGGATGAGTGTAGAATATCACCCATATCAACTTATCAAGGGGAACAATTCAATTTTACAAAAGCACGAGTTCATGGCTTCAGGTCTAACTTTAACTCAAGACTATTCATTATTTTGTCCAAAAGATATTAAAAATAATATAAATCATTGTTTTAAAAGTAGGAATAATCAGGAAGCTCAGCCACAGTTAACTTAACAGTAACCAATACTAGAAGTACCCAGAATTTTTTTTTTTACAATGGGAGTGTCGAGACTCTCAAATAATCTAAACACTATACAAATCTAAATGGTTTAATAAATTATAATGTTATTATAATAAATAACCTTAAAATATAAACCTAAAAATTAATAAATAAATAAACCTCATTAACTACCAAACTAACCCGTAAGATTGGTATCCAAAAATTTTATATGCTATAAGACGAAATTTTTGAAACATTTTTTGTGTTTTTTTTTTAATCTTTTCAAGAAATAAGAACCCTTTACCCGGTCTGCATTATTGAGTTACCTTGTGCTTATTATATGTTGAATAAGTTAATTCCCGTACCAGATATTTCATATCTTCCTGTAGATGAACGTTCATATATTTTGCCGTGTTTAACAGGGCTCATACAGCACATACGCACAATGGGCACAGAAGAACGTTTTTCTACAACCTGGATGACCACCAAATTCAGACTTTTCACATTCATATATATTCAAATGAAAACCTGGACTGCTCGATCTGCGCATGGTGCTCATCACATTTATTTCGGGGACATATTCACTAATAGCTAGATAATGATTTGATGAATTTGATCAAAATAATTTCCAGGTTAGAATACCAGAGATGTATCAGGAAATATGCAAAAAGAAACCCAGAAAGTAAAAATAACATAAGAATGAAAAACATCATGAGCACATGTGCAAAGATATAACACACCTCACAAGAAGTACTATTTATATTCAATATGTCAATCTACTATCATATTAGATGTCATCCACGTACTAACAAGACATTTGTGTCAATTTTATACTGGTGGCGGCCAAGCAAGAGTAAGGTACGTACACAAGCAAACCAAGGGAGCCATACAAAGTGCACAACATACAAGAATTGGCTCTTTATTTACTAGTAATATTACTTTTACTCCAATTTAGCAGTAAATGGAAAATCATGCGGTGGCATCAATAGGACGATTGCCAGCTTCTTTCTGCAAGAAACCTTGAACATATTCTTTCCTGCAACATAATTCCCTTGGTAAGACTAACAAAGCCTCTTGAAATTCTAATGGTCAGATGTTTACTCCCCCAAAAAAAAAAAAAAAAAAAAACAGATAAAACGATGTCAATATACACAGTAATGGCAGAAACATACCTTGCAGGTAGATGATCATGGGGACGATTGAATGGGGTCCAAACAGGATCACCCACAAACAAACGCATTGCCTGCACATTAACATACATATTAAGAAACAACTCTTTGCATTGTGTGGTTCGGAGAACTAAATTAAAAGCTAGTAAATAAGTCTCAACAGCCGGACTGATGTGTGCATATGTGTACACATCAAGTACACTACCACCAATTAATCTATTAGTGTTAAAAACTCCAGAAATGTCTATCAGACACCAAGGTCGAATAAGAATCAAACACAAAGATGAGAAACTTAACAATAAAGTACAAATCATCCAACTATAATAAAACAAGCCTTATAGTCAGGAAAGTTTTTATAATATCAGGGCGATAACATCATTTCCTAGCAAATAAAATTGAAGTAACTCCTCTATGGAAGAGTCTGTGCAGATTCCTATTAGATGCCTCTGAGAATTTAATTAATACCAATTCAAGGGATATAGCTATTCATCAAACATCAAAACCTGCCTAGAAGAAAACTGCTTCAAATTAATTAATTTAGATGTCCTCGTAGCAATTTATGGCAGCGGTAGCAGCCATCTAACCTAATGTCTCAAACGACATCTTCAATCATTATGCAAACATGAAGAAAAAATACAAGTGTATCTTCATTGCCAACTTTAATAAAACAAAACTCAAATTCCCAAGGTAGACAATATTTTCCTTATTAAGGGGCTGGTGTTGAAGTAAAATGTTGTTGAGTCAGCAGGCACACAAGCTACAAACAGAAATTGCATAGAGACGTACAATACCAGTACCTTAATATAGTTGTCTGTATCCAATGTAAAGCGGTGATAACAGCCAGCAGGTAAAACAATCATTCCACCCTTCTTTAACCATACACGAATCCATTTGTCATTACGGTCCCTGATATCAAAGTAACCTTCACCAGAAAAAAGACCACTAAGAACTTAAATTAAGGTAAGTACTGACAGCAAACCAAGCACCAAAGTAATCCTACCACTTCCTGCCACACAGTAGCGTATCTCTTCATCAGTGTGAAGATGTTCTTCAAAGAAATTTTTTATCTTCTCTTCATAATTTGGCAGCTTTTCTGGGGAAACCTCACAAAAGTCCTGCAGAAAAACTTATCTGGTTAAAAGTACAACACATTTGCACACTCATTGTCAGATGGCAAACATAGTTAAGAACTCATCAAATTCATAATTAAAATTAACTGACTTTTCTTTCTTTAGAATTTACTAATGTATATTCCACAGTACTGAATAGGTTTATCCCAAAACAAATTGAATGAAATCCTTATTTCAGAACACCCAAGATATCAAGATAAGGTCAAAAGCCATATTCTTATGCTCATGAAACAGTAAA